TATTTTACTATGTCATATTTACTACCTTCCTTAACCTGGTCCCTTTTTAAATAAGTGAAACAATAAACTAATCAAGGAAGCCATTGTTTTATTGAGCTACTTTTAGAATTCCCCTTATTGGTTTTCAAAGTTTTTTGTGTGTTTTTTTTTTAACGAGTCTACTGACAAATTACCAGAAGAAGAGACCTCCATGACATTCTTTACAAAAAACTGTTACTGTATAGGTTGAAAACTATTTCATAACATATTCTAAAATATATGTAAGCAATTGTGTTTATATAGTAGAATCATGGTCAGAAGAAATGACATTTTTGTTGCAGAGTTTAGAGGTTTGCTGCCTTTAAAATATGAAAGGTTGCATTTTTCTGGTTTAAAACCATTATATGCATATCAAAACAATACAGTTATGCATGAAGTATTTCAACCATCTCCGTCTATTTCATTGTTGAGCTGTTTTTGTTGTTTGAGGCTTCCCATTTTTTCTTTGTTTTAACTGCACTGACCAAACCGGGACCGTCTTTTATCCCATCTTGTTTGCATCAATACTGAAATATTTAGTCGGTCGCAGAGATTTACAGATTATTGTTTGAATAATAACCCTGTGGCTTTTCGAATTATGATAAAGGTGTCACCTAAAACCGACTCAACATTTGAAAGTACTGGTGAAATTTTATCTTTATCATAAGAAATAAGAATGCTTTATTTTTGTGGAGCTGAAGGTTTAGACCTAAAAAGACAAAACGCAGCATTTGTGTTACAGCTTTTTTGACTCTCCTGAATGGGAAAAAGGTCCTGTCTTCAATTTTTAAGGCAAGCACATTTTAAAAATGTATAACAAGCTTCAGCTCACCTCTCCCTCTCTTGTCCATGGTCGACCATTCTGGGGATATTTAACCTGGCTCTGCCTCTTCTTCTGGCCTCCATCCGCAAACTTGCACAACAAAGGCTCTGCAGGAGCTACAGCAAAAATGGGTAGACAAAAACAAGAAAAACAAGAAAAAAAGAAAGGTTACTTATATTCATTGCAAGAAAAAGAAAAAGAATAGAGGTAAAAATTGAGTTTTATGCTGTGACTTAAAGCAAACATATAAATCAACTGGACCTGAAAACCCCACTCCTGCAGAGCATTTATCTATTGCACAGCTTTATCAAACCATCTGAACAACAGCCTTATCTCCACAACTTCCACATCCCAGCTTTCTCGAAAACAGCCTTGACACTGAACCAGAGCCACAGGCTAATCATCAAAGAATAGTACGCATGGTAGCATGGTTCAAAACAAACCAAACAGTCATGCTCAGTACCCCAAATCATCCCCACACTTTGACCCCAGGGCGATGGGTGCAGATTACAACTGCTTCAAAGAAAACTCTGCATCTTTCTGGACCAGAGAAAGCAAAAATACTTGATTAGAAATGTGATTAACAAAGTAAGATTCTTCATTAAACTGTAACTGAACTTTAGACTACTTGTTTCTGAATTTAGAGAAGCAGTGTAAATATATTATTCAAATTGAAGGGCATATCTCAAGATGTTAAAAACAAGTCAGGGTAAATGGTAAGCCTGTTACAAAAACCACATGAATACTTCATTATTTTCTTTTAATTGTAATTTACGATGCCTAAAAGGATCTGTCTGCACTTTGATAGGCCACCAATTTAGCTGATTTGAACTTAGTTAATGAAAGACAAATTTATTTGGACCAATGGGTTCGAACTTAATTTAACACCACAGGTTTTCTTAACAGCCAGACTGATGAATAAGGCCAATACTTATTATAAAAATCACTGACATTCCTGATGATGCCCCGAGGATGGTCAACAGTGGATACGTCTGTGCTGGAAATAAAGTGAACCTTCAATCAGTTGTAGCTTTAATCCTAATCGTCTTAAACAATTGGAAAATGCCTGTAAAATTCGAGTCATCAAAAACTACTTTGTACATTTCAGTACATTTAAAACCTAACAAGACCCTTAAACACAGGCTAGTGCATCCTAAGGACAAAACCCCCAGACCAAATATGAGCGGAGTGGTGCATGCAGTTCAGTGCAATGAGGAATGTTCTGATCTTTACTGTATATTGGAGAAATCAAACAACCTCTCCAAAAATGGCCCAACACAGAAGAGCGACCTCCACTGGACAAGACTCTGCAGCACATCTACACCTTATGGATAAAGGACATTCTTTTGAGGACCAGAATGTTCACATTTTGGATAAAGAAAATAGGTGCTTTGAGAGGGGCATGTAGGAAACCATCTATGTTAAGCAAGAAAAAACAATCTTAAACAGAGGGGATGGACTCAGGATTCAGCTTTCAAAAACTTACAATGAAGCTACTGAGTTAATCCCTTCCCGTTATCATCGCAGCCCCACCCCTTGTACAGGGAAGTGGCAGGACCCCGTCTATTCAGCCAGGCCAGCAATCCCCTTTAACGACCGACCTTTCAGGCACTTGTGGGGGGTATTGCAGTCTAACAAAATAAGCCAAACGTCCCCCATTCCAAATGGGTGGACCCCTTCGTCTGTTCCAATTGGCATGTTTTCAAAACAAAAACGAGGCCTTGTTGGGCTATTGTATAAAACATCAAGCTCAATGTTATTTCTGACATTTTGAATGGAAAAAGCTTCCTGGATGGGAAGCAAAACGTCTTCAAACTTGGAAACAAAGTCCAGTGGATTGCTTAAAATTTTTTTGAAATGACTGCGACCTGGATGACTGAGAACCTTCACCAGCATATTACCTCAGATAAGAATTTCTGTTACATATTTTAATAGAAAAAAATATATGTTTCTCTATGGAAAAAAATATTGCCGCTATTACAGTATGCAAGCCATTCTGATTGTTGGTGATCACCTTTCCCATAGTCTCACGGGTGTTTTTAAATTTTTTCTTCAACAAAGAGCTTTAGGTCTGTGAGATCAGAAGGCCTCATCCCCATGACCCTAATGTTTAGCTCCGACTGTGCAATCTATTTTAGAATTCAGGCAGGATTTATTTAGGAATGAGATCTTTGGTTAGAGACATTTTTCTATCTTTTTCTTGGATGACTTCTACACCCTCTATGTTTCTAACTTAAGACTTGACATCTGTGCCCTGTCACAAAACAGACTACTTGCAACTGGTCAACTATGCAACTATGTCCTTGTCTGTAAAGTTTGTTTTGGGAACTCAGTTACAGATCATTTTCTACTTTGCAAATTCTCACCTCTTTAACATTTTCATGGATCTTATTATACATTGTTTCATACACATTTGGAGAATAATAGATGCTATAGTATTCTTACAGAAATTACAGAAATAAACCATATTTCAAGAGCAATTTATTTGTTTTTTCTTTTCAAGATGACAAACACTAGAAATAAATATCTTTATTAAACAAATACTCTAACTTTGATATATATTATAGAAAACTAAAGTCTTAATCCCACATCTGAAAGCGTGTTGTACAATGACAAAGCCTGAAACTTCACATAAACCAAAGGGCTGAGACTTGTCTTAGTAGATGTTTTGTTTCAGTGGCCCAAGCAAAGAAAAGGCACACAGAGACAACATGTCAAGTTTTCTGGTCAGGATTTTTTTTTTGTCTTTTCCGAACTGACAGCCAATAAAACACAGAAACTCTGGTTTCCTTGTTGGGTACGCATGAGAAATGTCTCTTCTTAAGTGAACTGAATCCTTTATTTTTTTTATTTCAGGATCCCACTGACAAAAAAGAAAAAAATATATGTGTCAGCATCCTGGCTGGTGTTTGTTTTTAATATTAAAGGCTGTAAAGTGACCAAACATAAAATGCTTTAGGCTATTGTTTATATTTAAACACAAGTCTACACACTGCCGATACTAAATTAAAGCCATATTGAAAATAAATTGTGTGAGAAAATTAATACAATATGACAAATTTAAATATAAAAAGCAAAAATATAAAGTTAATAAAGTTTGTAGGGACTATTTATTTTTTGATTGTAAATATCTGCAGTCCTATATAAGTATTAGCTAAGAGTTGCTCTATTGGTATAGGCAAAGTTTATAAGGGAGACTAAAAAGGGGGACTAAAAATAAAAAAATAGAAACCTAACATACTATTTTCAAAGAAACTTGAAGATCCTTTTTATGCAATATTCACATTGTAAACATTTTGTAACAGCGAGCTCTATCCTTACGCTTGAGTATCAGATTCACAAATACTAACAGCTCTTTCCCCACTACAGTATCATTGCCTTTCTCCACCTCTTAGCTAATGTGTGCTCAATATGATATGTTTAAACAGCATTCCTCTTATGATGTCATTAAGGGAAACACGCTATCCAGAACAGTCTGTAGAAGCCCATTAGTCAAGCCACAGTTTTCATGCAATCTATTATCCCACGATTCTAGCCACTATCTTTATAAACTCTGACTGGTTGTCATACTTATGGGTTGTCGGGGTGCAGGCTTCGGGAGGACAGGGTGTTGAAAGTAAAAACAGCTCATCCAGAAGAGGACTGAATAAGGAGATTTTTGGTATCTGCTGTTTTTCTAATCTGACATAAATTTTTGAACATGCTCTAGGGGCCTCCTTGTTATTTATTTCCTTTTTTTAATGTAGCATTATTTATAACCCTCAAGTGTAGAAAAAATTATGTGTCTTGAGAGTCTTCTATGCTCTTTATCACATTTTCTTAATGCAGAGAATTAATTGTCTCTTATATGGAGTTAAATTGGAGATACTGTTAGACAAACTCATGCTTAGAAATTTGAGTAAAAATCATCCTTCCTGTGTTCTCTTTTACTTTTTTTAAGAATACCTTGCAAGGCCAAGCTTAGTTTCAGTTATTCTTTGTTCATACTAAACAGGTTATGCCACCCTTCCTGAGGAGGATGCCTTGTATCAAATAGTTTAGCAGCATATGTTATAAAGGTTTGTTCATGTCAGAATTTGTATTCTAGTTCTACATGTTTAATTACAATGTCTTAATATTTCACTACACTACACAATTGAAGCAGCAATAATTAACAAATAAAAATGTACTTTTCCTATAGAAAGAGTATAGGTCTAGGAAAAGAATCCATCTCCAAACACGTTGGAAAACAAGCACAGCTCAAACAGTTTTACATTGTGACAGCTCTACATGAAGTATTTTGAGGTAAAATGTAGGGTTATGCATTTCAGAAAGTCAATTGGCACTGACTGACTGAAGAGCACCAATGTCAACTGGCAGTTTTCTCAGGATTGACAGTTTAGCTGCAGAAAAAGCAAACAGAGGTCCCAAAGAGTCTAAAAGTTTAATTCCAGGATCAGGAGGAATGCCTTGCAGTTGTCGACTTGTTGGTATTGTACAGTATAAAGCAGATCATGTATCACATTCTGTGAATTTAAACTGCATGATAAGCTTTCGATGTACGGAATGGACATTAGAGCAAACTCATATATGCTGTAACTTCTATACAGAGAAAACCTTTAGAAAATATATGAGCTGAATGCTTGGTTTAAATATGGTGATGTCTAAAAGGATATATTTAGTGCAGACGAAATCCAGTGCAAATATGGTTTAACTTTTCTCTGCTGCTTTAGGCACTCGATCTCTCATTGTTACTGACTACAGTATGAAATCTCCCTCGCCGCGAGAGTGCTAGAATATAATGTGAGTCATATACCAATAATCAAATTCTACCTGCATATACCGCTTGCATCAAGATAATGATCCTCATTATCCCAGCAAACCCTTCAAGGCTCGTGAAAAAGAAACAAAGGGACGAGGAATAAAAAGTTCTTAGACTGTATTTAAATCTACTTATTTTGAGACATTCCTGAAAGAAAGTGAGGATGTGGGATAAAAGGAAGAGCAATGCATTTAGCAGTTTTATGTACACAACTGTCATCAAATTTCAACAGGCCAGCGTCAGACTCAAGGATGGTTACATAAAACGCCTGGAAGACGTTTAGGGGAAAAATCAGAGAAACATTTCTGTAACAAG